GAGAGAGAGAGAGAGAGAGAGAGAGAGAGAGAGAGAGAGAGCGCATGCATATTGGTTATAGCAGCATTTTGCAGAGATCATACTGTGCCTTACTTCTCTGTCTGACCACAACTCCCTACCAGAAGCTTTTTATACAAAGAATAGAAGCATTGCTGATGGGTTGGGGAAAACCCAAAAGTGAGTTTTTCAAATCACCACTAAATTAAATTCAACGCTAAATTTATTTCCAGTGCCTTTTTACTATATATTGATTTTCAGACTATCTACCAATGATCTGTCAGCAACATGAGTCTCTATATGATACAATTTAAAAGAAAATAGCAAGCAGAGCAGCTTCAGGGTTCAGCTCCACCTCTTAGTAGTTTTATGATCTTGAACAAGCTTACACCACATCAAGTACATAATGAATGTTAAATGATAACACTAAACACTATCAGCAATAATAACCTCTCATTTGTTATATTCCAGGCACTATGCTATACCTTTAAAAGTAATTCTTGTTTAATCCTACAGCAATCCTAGAGTCTCAGTAGCCATTTACAGAAACATAAGGGTATCAGATCACCCATCCTTGATGGTAGGTGCTGCCAATTAGAATGACCACATGATACTAACCAGGCTCATCTAACTGAAAGGAGGAAGTTGGTTTTTATCTTTTTCCATTTCCACACATACATGTGTGTTATGTGTACATGTGTTTCCAAGTGTATGAGCACATATGGGCGTGTCTTGGGATTTTATTGCTGTGAAGAGATACCTTGGCTAAGGCAACTCTTATAAAGGCAAACATTTAACTAGGCTACCCTACACTTTCAGAAGTTCAGTTCATTATCGTCATGAGAAGAAGCATGGTACCGTGCAGGCAGACTTGGTGCTGGAGGAGCCAAGAGTTCTACATCTTGATCTGAAGACGGCCAGGAGACTATCTTCTGTAGGCAAACAGGAAGACGGTCTGGATCACACTGGTCAAACCTGAGTGTGTGTGTGTGTGTGTGTGTGTGTGTGTGTGTGTGTGTGTGTGTGTATGTGTGTAACTTTAAAGCCCCACCTACACAATGACCTACACTTATTACCAAGGCTATATCTCCTCCAGTAAGACAATACCTCTTAATAGTGCCATTTCCCACTGGCCAAGCATGTTCAAACCACCACAGGGTACAAATGTGCATGTGTGAACATGTGTGGAAGCCTGGAATGGATGTTGGGAATCACCTTAAATCCCTAAAACACCTTATTCATTGGAGCAGGGACATGGCTGCTTGCTCTAGGGATCCCCTAGCTCTGTCTTCTGAGGCTGAAATTCCAGTGTAAATCATACCTACATGGCGTTTACATGAGTTCTGAGAATCTGAGCTGTATCTTTATGCTTGTGTGGCAAGTGCTTTAACCACCACGCCATCTCCCCATAGCAGGCATAATGGCCTCTTCCCCTGGACCTAATTCTCCAGTGGAATTCAATTGGAAAACAGAAAACAGAGAAAGTCCTGGCAGACTGTGGCTAGGAAAGGTGAAAGGAAATGCAAAATGTTTTGCTTATTCTGCTTAAAAATCAATCTTTGCCTAGACTTCATCCAGCAACAGTCCCACAGCCAAACATTAGGTAGAGCTTAGGGAGTCCTGTGGAGGATGGGAAAGAAGGATTGGAAGAACTAGAGGGGTCTAGGATACATCACAAGAACACAGCACACAGAATCAACTGCCTGGGACTCATGGGAATTTGAGAGATCAGTGAAACTGTAGGGGTCTGACCCAAGTCCTCTGCATGCCTGGTATGGCTAAGTAGCTTAGTGTTCTTGTGGAAATCCTAACAGTGGGAGCAGCGGCTGTCCCTGAATCTTTGCCTACTTGTGGAGCCCTTTTTCTCCTACAGGGTTGCCTTGCCCAGCCTTGATGAGATGGTATGTGCTAGGTCTTATTGTAGCTTGTTATGCCATGTCTGGTTGATTTTCCTGGGAGGCCTACTCTTTTCTAAGAAGAGGTGGAGAGAGGGAGGGGAACTTAGGGGAGAGTGGAGTCAGATTAAAGAGGCTGGAGGAGGGAAGGGTGAGGAAACTGTTGTCAGGATGAGATATATATGAGAGAAGAAAAAAAAAGTAAAATAAAACAATAAAAAAATTAATCTCTGCCTCTCCTAACCTCCCAAGTCCCTAAAGGGTTTTTATCAAGACTTACATTAGTGTTCCAACTTCTTTTTAATGAGTGAAAACAATGACTTCAAAGTTGTGCTGACCAATAAAGGCAAGTTTTCTAAGACAATATTCTCAAATCAAGTAAGTTGAAACACTAGTCTTCCTCAATCAGAATGTCTGTCATGAAAAGAACACGGTGAATAAGGAGATACAAAGTTGAGGGGAATAAAGTTAGTATAACCACTATGGAAATCAGTATGGAGGTTCCTCAAAAAGCTAAAATCAGCTTGAGTATGACCCTGCTGCACCACTCCTACAAACACAGCTGACGGAAATGATGCCAGCATGCAGCAGAGATACCACACACCCATGTTTACTGCTGCAGTGTTCACAATTATCAAGATATAGAATCAGCCCCAGTTATCTGTGAGATGATAAATGGATTAAAAATGTGTACATATAAGAACATTATTGAGACAGAAAGAATAAAATATCGTCATTTGTAGGGAAGTGGATGGAACTAGAGATTATCATGTTAAAGGGGAAAAATCATGTTAAAACAGTCTCAGAAAGTCAACTAGGTATATTTTCTCTCATACAGAATTTACACACACACACACACATGCACACAC